TCCAGGCTCTGACCTGTCAGCACAGAACCCAACGCAGGGCTTGAACTCACGGACCATGAGATCATGACCTGAGCCCAAGTCAGACACTTAACTGACTGAGCCAACCAGGCGCCCAGTTATTCCTTTCTTAAAATGAGAATAATGCTTTCAGTGTATCTGTGAGGTACTGTAGGAATTGAAAAGCCCAAGTGTGAGAGAGATAATAGATTTGCTCACATGTGAAGGCATCCTTGTTACTTCTAGGTATCAGGCACCTTGGAAGTCTTGACCATAATACAGCATGTCAAAATGAATCTCCTGTCCCTAGCAAGTGACTTTTGGAACTGCTGCTATTGTTCAAAAACATTTTAGGAACTCCTGTTCAGAAAAATGACTTTTGGTCACATTGTGATATATTCAGGCTGTATATTTTGAAAGCAGTCTTGATTTTGGAAAATGTCCGAAGATCATTTGGAACCAAATTTGATTAATAACTAAAAAGATGGAGGTCAAACTTTGTGATTCAATTTTTGTTTAAAAATAGAGATTGGTGGGGTGCCTGGGTGGCTCTGTCGGTTAAGCATCCAACTCTCAGTTTCAGCTCAGGTCATGATCTCATGGTTCATGGGATCGAGCCCCATATGTGGCTCTGTGCTGATAGTGCTGAGCCTGCTTGGGATTCTCTCTCCCCCTCTCTCTTTGCCCCTCCCGTGCTTGTGTTCTCTCTTGAAATAAATAAACACTTAAAAAAATGGAGATTTGTTACTATAAATTTATAAGGCCTATTTTGCGTGAATCATAAATGAGGTATAAATCTCCTTCCTACAAGGAAGTTACAAAATGTACAGAACATTGGGATTACATATGTTCCCTCCAAAATATGTATATCTAGAGCTACTACACACTTGTACACAAATACTAGTATATTTAGTAAAAACTTGTGTTGAATATGTCATAATTTCTAGTGTTATAGAGGAGTTTTGCCCACATGACGGCATGCCCATTGGGCAACAAAGACCTCAGTTTGGATAGCCGTTAAAATGGGTTTGGCTTTCATGCATAACCACTTGCCGTCTTTCATGGAACACTCTGACTTGCTTTTGTTTCTTTCTTTCTTTTTTTTTTTTTTTTGAAAAACCAGAGGATGAGGTGAAAATCCAAAAAGAAAGACAACCTGAAACTCCTATAGACATGATCAAGCGCTCCAAGAAGAAGTCCTGGCAAACCCCTATGTCACCCGACCAGTTCCTACTGACTGTTAACGCCCTGCAGCAGGCCCATAATTCCGGGGAGTTTGCCTATCCCCGTAGACCCCAAACCCAAGTCATTGATGCCTGGGGACCTTCCATTTCACACCCAAGGAAGGTCTTGAGTTTCAAAGGAAAATCAATCCAACGTGCAGTTGATAGGCTGAGGTGGAGCAACCCTCCCATAGACGTGAAACAAACCAATATTCCCCTTGAAACCCAGAAACTGCAGCCCAACCTGAAGAACTCTTTGCACAGTCCCCGAGTCCAGTCCACCATCCCCCAGCCTGTGATTATCCACCCCAGATTCACTGATGGCTTCAAGGGTGAAGACCAAGCCACCAGCTCTGTTGACCGGACAGTGCGCAGCTACAGACCTTTAACCAGCATGCAGGTCATTAAACCGAACCGTATGCTGGCTCCACAAGTGGGCGTGGCAACCAAATCTGTCAAGAAAGCACGACATCGCTTCTATCCGTCCCTTGATCCCTTTAGAATGAACACTCAGTTTATGTTGTTGACTGTAAGGGATGAAAAAGAGTATAGGGAAGTCAAGATGAAGAAGTATCAGACCAGGAAGCTCACTGAAGTGGTCGATCCAGAAAAAGCCAGCAAATGTGCATGGATCAGGAAGATCCAAGGGCTGCCTATAGATAATTTCCTGAAGCAAGGGAAAACAGCAGCTCCTGAACTTGGACGGAACATGTTTATCTGAACCAGCCTTGGGACATGAACATCTCACAATAAACAGAAAACTAAGTGGATGTTGGTGTTTGGCCACTTGCTTTGTTTGTTTGTTTGGTTTTTGGACTATCCCTTGGCAATGTAGGGAGTCCTAATTATCTTCCTAGAAGCCAAAGAATTGATAAAATCAAAATAAGAAAATGGGGGTGGGATGTGGGAGAGATTGGCATCTGTATTCCTACTGAAAACCATTGAAACTTATGGAAGCCCAACTTCACTGGCGGGAGATGGGAAAGTGATCCTTGGAAATTAGATACTACTTATCATTACCAATTTAGTGCTTCCATTTGGATCACAAATGAATGATGGGATTGTATTAGAATAAGGCATGGGAATTCTCTGCTATATTTGCACAGTGGTTGATGAAGCACAATGAGCTCAGTTAAGAATCTAAAAGGAGATACCTTCAACGGGGTTGACCTATTGCATTGGAGAACGTTATGTGTTCTTTTCCTTCTCAGGGCTAACTCCTATGGAAGAGAATTAAGCATTATCATTTTTTCCTCAAAGAGGGACACTAATATCAAGTGTGTGAATGTTTCTACTTAGACATTTCAAAGATGGTGTCAGGGACCAGGCAGGTAATTTAAAAGAAGGCGGCACACCACGGGAGCTATGGCCTTTTGGAGAGCTCAAGCCCTATCCAAAGGGGTAGCTCCTACTCAGCGGCTCAGCATGACCACAGGATGGTGTGAGATAGTAGGAAATATATATTGGTCTCTGCCCCTAGTTCCCGGCACAGAGCACTTGAAGACTTTATAAATTCCCAAGTGATACGAACACTAGGAGCATCTTTTCTTTTAATGGGGTGACTCAGAGTGGGCTCCTGGATGGGGGCTGGTCAACAGAAAGACCAAACCAAAATTAGAAGCTTGGGAATTGTGGCCCTATCCCACATCTCTCCAGAGAGAGAGAGGAGCTGGAAGTGGAGTTAATGATCTGTCATGTCTATGGTTATGAACCCTCCATAAAAATCTCAATAGTATGGGGTTCAGAGAGCTTCCGGGTTGGTGCACACATCTATGCATTGGGAGGGTGACGCACCCCAACTCCACAGACCCTTCCAGACCTCACCTATGTGTCTCTATCAGGTTGTTCATCTGTGTCTTTTATTAACTGGCACATGTAAGTGTTTCCTTGAGTTCTGTGAACCTTCCAGCAAATTAACTGAACTCAAGAGGGAGGTCATTGGAACCTCAAATCTACAGCCAGTTGGTCAGAAGCACAGTGATAAACTGGATCTCCAGCTGGCATGTGAAGAATGAGTGTGTGTGAGAGACCAAAAGAGAGAGGGAGAGCTGGCAGGCACAAGCGTCTTCTGGGACTGAGCCCGTAACCTGTGGAATCTGGCTCTATCTCCTTATAATGTCAGAATTGAATTGAATTGAGGAAACCCAGCTGGTGTCCCTGAGAATTGCTTGGTGTGGGGAAGGAACTCCCACGCACCTGGTGACCAGAAGTGAAGTGTTTTATGTGAGAAGTAATGGAGACAGTGGAGAAGCACAGTAGGGGAGAAGTGGGCTTTTTCCTGCACACCAAAGACTGAACTGAGATTTTCCTATGCAGGTGGTAATAAATTCAAATAGAATGCAAACCCAAAACAACACAAAACCCCACAACCCACACACTGGTTGGGGCGCCAAACACATGGCATGGGCTGGCTAGAGGCACAGGCCACCTCTTCAGGGAGTCCCTTTTCACCTCCAAGTGCAGGACCATAATTCTGTGCCAAGGTTCCTCTCCTTGAAGAATTTATTTTTTTTTCATTATTAGGATATTAAGTTTAAAGTAGCACTGGCTAATAGCCATGTAAAAATTGTGATTTCAATGTAAAGGAGCCCCTCGATGAAGGAAAAGAGCGAATACACATTATTCCAGGAGTCTTCTAACAGCAGATCGGATATTCTTCTAATTACACTGTTATAGTCAGTTTCAAAGATGATGTAAGAGTCTCTGAATTTCAGGTCCTTCATGGAGCAAAATGATGTTACTGGCGATTAAACTTAAAATAGTATTAAGAAAGACTATACTTTCAGGGATCATTTCTATAGTTTGTTACTAGAGAAGTTTCTTTGAACCTGTAGAGTACCAAGTCCTCTATGACCCAGCAATAGCACTGCTAGGAATTTACCCAAGGATACAGGAGGGCTGATGTACCCCAATGTTCATAGCAGCACTCTCAGCAACAGCCAAATCATGGAAAGAGCCTAAGTGTCCATCAACGGACGAATGGATCAAGAAGATGTGGTTTATCTATACGATGGAATACTACATGGCAATGAGAAAGAATGACATCTGGCCATGTGTAGCAACGTGGACGGAACTGGAGGGTGTTATGCTGAGAGAAATAAGTCAGGCAGAGAAGGACAAATACCATATGTTTGCACGTATAGGAGGATTAGGAGGCACTTAATGGAGGACCATGGGGGAGAAGAAGGGGAGAAATAGTGGAGGAGAGGGAGGGAGGCAAACCATGAGAGACTCTTGAATGCGAGAACAAACTGAGGGCTGATGGGGGTGGGGGGGAGGGGAAGGGGGGTGATGGGCATGGAGGAGGGCACTTGTGGGGATGAGCACTGGGTGTTATATGGAAACCAACTTGACAATGAACTATTTTAAAAAAACCAGTATTAAGAATTACATTTACTATTTACTAAGCCCACTTACCCTGTTCAGATGCCATCATCATCCCGGCTTTACAAAACTGAGGGAAGAGGTATATAGAGGTTATTTGGAGAGCTAGTACCTGGAGAAGCCGGGACTCAAACGGTCTGTTTATAGAGTCCCCTGCTTTGTTTCTTGATACAATCCCACACGCTAGCAGGGCCCCAGACGCCCCGCCCACACGCTCGCCCCTCCCTCGACGCCCCGCCCCTGACGTCCCGTCCACGCATTAGCCCCGCCCCCGGATCCCTCGCCCTCCTCGCGCCCCGTCCCGAGACCGCCACGCCCACCAGCTAGTCCCGCCCCGGACGCCCCGCCCACACGCTCGTCCCGCCCCTTGGTTCCTCCTCCCACGAAGCACCTGGAAGCGGAAGTGGAGGCGGGCTGGACTTGTGGTTTATCTTCCCCGGTTTTGGGGACCTGGTCGCGTCAGCTGGCGCGCTGACGTGGCTCCCGGAAGCGGGGCTGGCGCAGGGCCGTCATGTTGCAGCAGGTGAGGGGCCGCGGGCGCGTCGTGAGGGTGGGTGTGGCGGGGCGCCGGGCCTGCTGGGTCCCAGGGGGCGCGAGTCTGGCGTCCCGGGGCACAACGGCCCCGCTGGCTGACCGGGCCCGGGGGGTGGGGAGCGGGCGGGGGCGCGGCTGGGAGCCCCGAGGGCTCGGCTGGAGGGTGCCCCGGTTCCGCCTCGGAGGGACGGCCTCGGGGTGTGCAGAAGCGCACTGCCAGCGGAGGTGGGGCGCCAGATCGCACGGAGCCGGTGCGGTGCTGCCGAAACGCCCTCGGCGTGAAGTTGCGGGTGGTCTTTCCCCAGACATTCGGGGACTTTCGGGGGGCGGGGCGCAGTGCCATCCTGCAGGAGTAGGAGACCCCGCCAGGGCCTTGCAGTCAAGTGCTCGTTGGTGATTGTTGCTCACTCCGATGATCACGACTGTGCCCTTAGAGTTAATTACAGTCTGCAGGTTTAGATCAGAGAAAGAATAATTTAGTAATCTCTTCCTATGTTAAAAAAAAACCAACACTTTTTACTCTTTATAGTGCACTTTCACTCGAGTACCCGTAGGTATTTTTTTCTCTTTGAGGGATTGCTATGGCCCACGCACTGTTCTAGGCCCAGGGATAGGGCTGTGAACCTTACTGACAGATTTCTTGCCCTGCAATGTGTGAATTGTGGGGTGCTGGGGGATGGGGGCTTGTCGATGGGTTGGGGTGGGGAGATCTAGGTAGTTAACATATATGGATATTTCCAGGTAGTGATAGCAACAACAAAGTGATGTATAGCATCATTTTTCTCTTTTCGTTTTTAAAAGGTTGTTTTTTTAAAAATTTTATTTATTTGGAGAGAGGGCGCAGGTGCAAGTGGGGGAAGGGCGGAGAGTGGGAGAGAGAATCCCAAGCAGGCTCCGAGCTGTCAGCGCAGAGCCCTGATGTGGGGCTTGATCCTACCAACCTTCAGATCAGGAGGCCCAACCGACCGAGCTGCCCAGGCGCCAAGCTTAAGTTAACATATAAACTTGCTTTAATTTTTCCTGTCTTAAAAAAAAAAAACTCCACTCTAAATACCCTTTGATGTATCACTGCATTCTCAGTTCCTTAAGCTTTATTTATACTTGTCTCTTTCTGTTCTCTCTTGGGTCCATTCTAGTCTGGTTTTCTGCCTCTTCCCTCTGCCCTCCTGAAACTGCTCTTAGTGAGGTCACGGATGGTCTTGGGGCCCCTGGGTGACTTAGTTGATTGAGCATCCAACTTCGGCTATGGTCAGGATCTCACAGTTTGTGAGTTCGAGCCCGGCGTCGGGCTCTCTGCTGTCAGCTTGGAGCCCACTTCAGGTCCTTTGTTGCCATCTCTCTCTGCTCCTACAGTGTTTGCTTGCTCTCAAAAATAAACATTAAAAAAAAAAAAAAAGAAATACAGAAGTCTCTGGTTTTCATCGTACTTGTGAGCAGTGTTTGATATAGTTGCTCTGACCCTCTTCCTGGCAACACTTCCTTCGCTTGGCTTCCAGGACCCGCCCCTCCCCCCCTTCACTCTTACTCCCTAGCACATCCTTTCCAGCCCCCACTGCTTATTCCTTCTCATCTTTCTGATCTCTAAATATTGGAGTGCCCAGGGGCGCCTGGGTGGCTCAGTTGGTTAAGCCTCCGATTTCGGCTCAGGTCATGATCTCACAGTTCGTGGGTTCGAGCCCTGTGTCGGACTCTGTGTTGACAGCTAACTCAGAGCCTGGAGCCTGCTTCAGATTCTGTGTCTTCATCTCTCTCTGACCCTCCCCTGCTTGCAGTCTACCTCTCTCTCTCAAAAATAAGTAAACATTAAAAAAAGAAAGTAAAAAAAAAAAATAAATGTCCGAGACCAAACTCTTGATTTCCCCCTGGTGTTGTGCCCACAGCCTCCCCATCTTCGTAATTGTAACCCCAGAAGTACAGAAATAGTTGTCTTTTTTCTTGTTTCAGGCTGTACCACCTCAAACAGTGCCTGGCACTCAGTGTGTATTTAATGAGAGTAAGCCAGCCTTTCAAAGAACAGGGTAAGAGAAAAGGGTTTTCTAGATAGAACTAGCTAGAACAAATGTAAAAGAGCCTGGTGGGACACACGTTTGGCATGTAAGGAACGAAAGAGAAGACCAGTCTGGCAGGGGCTTAGTTACTATATAGATTCCCCATTGCTGCAGATTACCATAGACTTAGCGGCCTAATAGAAATTTATCACCTTATAGTTCAGGGTCAGAAGTTAAATGAGTCAGGGGCTAAGGAGGCTCCAGGATACCCATCCCCACTGAAACTCCTTGATTCAGTCACATCTGCAAAGATATGTTTGCTAGAAATTTACGTATGTACAAATTCCAGGCATTAGCACCAGTAAGTCTGGCCAGACCAAGAGGAGGCATTCACCACAGGTCATGAAGCGGGAGTGGCCTGAGACAGGGTCTTAGAGAGATGGGCGGGGCCAGGTGGTGATGGGTCCTGATGGGGCTCCTTCTTCAGTGAAAGCCCTCTGGGTTTTAAGTAGGGAGTTGATATGGTCTAGTGTGAGAGGTCTGCTGGATGTGGACTGGATTGTTGGAATCAAGGAGGAGCGTCAGCATTTCTGACCCTAGCATCCTAATTATGATCTCAGGCGTGGCTGCACTTTATTGTCATCTGAGGGGCTTTAAAAAAAATCCAGATGCCAAAAAAAAAAAAAAAAATCCAGATGCCCAGACCACACCGCAGACCAGTGACATCTGAACCTTGGGGTGGGGATCCAGGTATCAGGGTTTCTTTTTCTCTCTTTCTTTTCTTTCTTTCTTTTTCTTTTTTTTTTTTAAAGTACCCAAGACAGATCCAGACTGTGAGCCAAAGTTGAGAAGCACTGGTCTCAGATCCGAGTCTGTTTTCCACTTAAAGCCTTGGCTCCCATTCTGCTCGTCTCACTGTTCTCTTACTCCGTGGCCTCCTTGGCCATTCCCTATATAGACCTTGTGCGTTTCCATTCTCTGCCTTTGAAAATATTCCTTCTCCAGGGAATAGAGTGAGCAGGAGGCTTCTGTGCTCTTTCGGCACCCAGCACACAAGCTCTCCTCCAGGGCCCTTTGGTAGAAGGGGTTCTCTTCCTTTCTGTGCTCCTGTTTGGACCCCTGTTTCTCCTGGCTCCGATCACAGTCTGCACTTGCCTCCTTTGTTCGTTCCCTCCTGCCTTCAAGAAATATTGTACCGCCTGGCCGGGTGCTGTGCTGTACACCAGACTTCTTATAGTGCAGTGACCTTGCCCTCCAGTAGCCTAGACTCTAGATGGAGGTGGTCGTTGGAGCACTGCAGGAAGATTGTCGTGCAGGCGGAGGTTGGAAACGGGAAGCCTGGGGATTTCAGGGCGAGTGTCTCGGCTCTTTCAGTTTTGCAGCTGAAATTTGCAAGGATGTAGTGTTGCCGAGGGCTTGCTGTGTGAGGGATGGAGAGAAGAGCTTTCTGGGTGGAGAAAACACACGAAAGGCAGGCGGATGGGAGAACCTGGTGTTTTCAGAGAACACGCAGTAATGGTATTGCTGCCCTGCCCGGTGGAGGGGAGAGTCAGAAGAGAAGCAGGGGATCGGGTTGGGAGATCTCCCGGGCAGCACGTAGAGGAGGTTAAGTTTTATCTTCTACATGTAGGAGCACCACCAAAAAAAAAAAAAAAAAAAAAAAATTTGCGGAGGGGCAGGATCTGGTGTGACTTTACTGTTAGGAAGATTGCTCTGTGGGTGACGAGGGGCTGGCGTCCAGCAGAGATGAAAGGAAGGCAGGCGGGTGGTGGGTGGGTGGCTGGCGCCTCAGGCAAGGTGTGAAAGCGAGGTCGTTTTTGGTTGAGGCTGTGGCTGGTGGAGGTGTGAGCCTCCCTGAGACTCTGAGGCTGTGAGAGGGAGAAATGCTGTGCCACAAAAGCAGAAGATAGAAGGGTATCAGGTTCAGGGTTTGTGAAACCTCTTTCAAACAATAAACGGCACCCGAAGAAGCCCATATGCCGACTGGGGAGATCCAGTGGGAAGACCTGAAGATACCAGACAGTGTAAATAAAGGGGAAATTGACGAAAGAGGTCCCTGAGGAGGCAGGAAAGGAAGAGATTCCAAGCCCCGTGGTGGGTGTCACTGTGGATATAAAGAGACCAGTGAGAAGGGGTTGGGGAAACCAGGGTGCAGGCAGGTGATTCCGCGAAGGAGCCAGAAGCATGGAGTGTGTCCCCGAGAGGTTCTGCTGGTGACGGAGCAGCTGAGTGCGGATGAGGGAAATTTACAGGAGCGTCATTGCCTGCCTCCCCCCATGGTTTGTCACAGGGCTCAGCTGCGGGGTAGCGATGGCTTGTTGCCAGATGATGGGGGTGCCCTGTCCCCAGGTTGTGAATTCCCGATGTCCGGGACCGCGTCTTACTTGTGCTTTCCGTTCTGGTGTGCTGCCTTCTGTGTATGAGGCACGGGAGTACTGAGTTAATTTCCTCTTGCTTCACGGATACTTAATTTTCCTGCCAGGACAGTAATGATGACACCGAGGACGTTTCCCTGTTTGATGCAGAAGAGGAGACCACTGACAGACCAAAAAAGTCCAAGATCAGGTACGGGGATACGTCGTGGGAGCTGGGTTCTGTGTGTGATGGGTGCCAGCCGGTGGCATTCAGGGCAAAGCGGGTGTCACGTCCGTAGGCACAGTGGACATCCGGCAGTTTGAGCCTCTGCCTGGGGCCAAGACGACATTTCAGATTTTCCGTGGGAATGACCGGCCTGTGGAAGTTTACCTGTAACATGAACCCGTACCGCCAAGCAGATTTCCATTCTGGATTCCGGCCCCTGGAAAGAAACTCACTGCGGTCAGATTCTACCTGACCTCTGAGAACGGGGTGCCGAGTGAGAGATGCGAGGCACAGGAGACCATTTGTGTGATTTCATTCATGCGAAGGGCCCAGAATAGGCAGATCTATAGAGACAGCAGTACGGCAGCGGTTGCCTGAGGCTGGAGCGGGGTGGGGCTGGGGGGGACTGCCCGCGGGTACCGACTTTGTTTTCCGGATGATGAAAAAGATCCAAAGGTGATCGCCCAATTCTGTGAACATGCCACAAAACTGTTGGGGCGTACATTTTAAACAGACCAATTTTGGGGTGTGTGGATTGTTCCTCAGTAAAGTTATTAACGCGAAGTGATTTCTCAGGGCCTGGGAATTCTGTTTTATTTATACTTATTTTAATTTGTAAGTAATTTCTGTGCCCAACATGGGGCTCAAACTCAGGGGCCCAAGGTCAGGTCGCATGCTCTACTGACTGAGCCAGCCAGGCACTCTGGAATTAGTTTTTTATGTGACAGTAGTGTAAAAAAAGTTTTTTTTACATTTATTTATTTATTGTTATTATTATTTTTAATGTTTTATTTATTTCTAGGAGAGAGAGAGAGAGGGACAGCGTGAGCAGGGGAGGGTCAGAGAGAGAGGGAGTCACAGACTGAAACAGGCTCCAGGCTCTGAGCTGGCAGACAACACAGAGCCCGACGCGGGACACAAACCCAAGAACCGCAAGATCATGACCTAAGCGAAAGTCGGACACAAAACCGACTAAGCCACCCAGGCGCCCCTACGTTTATTTATTTTTGAGAGACAGCATGAGTTGGGGAGGAGCAGAGAGAGAGAGAGGGAGACACAGAATCAGAAGCAGGCTCTAGGCTCTGAGCTGTCAGCACAGAGCCCGACGCGGGGCTTGAACCCACGAACCATGAGATCATGACCTGAGCCAAAGTCGGACGCCCAACCGACCCAGCCACCCAGGCGCCCCGTATGTGAAAATAGTTTTTAATCCTGAGAGTATAGTTTCCTTAATTCTCCAAGCTTGGCAGAGTTGCTCATATATTTTGTGCAGGTTCAAGTCCTGTTGCCATCGAGTATTTTCTGTGGCAGCAGGGCCTCATTACTTGTCAAACAACGGGACTTAACGTAAAAGAAGGGGAGGTGATTTGCTTCCTCCTCAGGTCATCTTAGTTCTGCCTAGACCCTGGCCGGTTGTGCTGTGGCCGGAGCATCGTTCATCGGCCTCTGCAGCACCTGTGCTGAAATGTGATGGCCTCTCTTTTGATCTGTTTTGGTTTCCAGACACCCAGTGGCGTCATTTTTCCATTTGTTCTTTCGAGTCAGCGCCATCGTGGTCTATCTGCTCTGTGAATTGTTCAGCAGCAGCTTTATTGCCTGTATGGTGACAATTATCTTGCTGTTGTCATGTGACTTTTGGGCAGTCAAGGTAGGTCTGAGTGCTTGATGATTTCAACGCTGTATTGAATGTGATGAGACCAAATGGTGCATGAACCATGGGGAGAGAATGGCACTTAGCGTCTTGGATTTGCCTTCGTGTATCTTTCTGGTACCGCAGGCCTCCTGCGTGAAGGTCTATCATCAGATCCCATGTAGGTTAGTATACTGCTGACTTACCTGTGCAGTATGTCAGCCTCCGTCAGCTTTAAAATTAGACTAGCAAAACGTGACTAGCAGCCACAGGTTTAAAAACCTGTGTCCTGTTTTTAATTAATAGCACTTGTTTTGCTTCAGGGTCACCTCCAGGTGTGCTGTGTATGATATCTAGATGGGAGCCCAGGAGAGACCATGCACAAATTCTTTTCTCTTAAATTTTTTTTAGTGTTTTTGATGTTTATTTAATTTTGAGAGAGAGAAAGAGACAGAGTGTGGGCAGGGGAGGGTCAGAGAGAGGGAGACACAGACTCAGAAGCAGGCTCCAGGCTCTGAGCTGTCAGCACAGAGCCTGATGCAGGGCTTGAACTCACAAACTGTGATATCATGACCTGAGCTGAAGTCAGACACTCAACTAACTGAGCCCCCCAGGCGCCCCATCATGCACAGATTCTTAGGGAGTGTGCCTGCCGTTCACAGAGGCCCCGATGCGGATCCTGGGGCAGTATTTTCTCCTGGGACCAGTTTTGTTCCCCAGAGGGTGGCTGTCCATGTCTGAAGACAGTTTTGGTGGTCACGGCTGGGGCTGGACACTTTTGCTGACATCTGGTGGGTAGAGGCCGAGGATACCGCTAACGTCCTTAGATGCACAGGACAGGTCCCTACAACGAATAGTTAATCTGAGCCCAGATGTCAGTAGCGCTGAGGCCGAGAAACCCTGCTGTAAGGGATAGGAGGGAAAAAGAGATGGTTTTAAACTCCAAGGCAACTGTAAGTAGAGAGATGGGTGGATGGATAGACAGACACCTAGATAGATGGACGTGTGATAAGGTAACTGTAGTAAAATATTAAATGTAGACTCTAGTGGGAGGCATTTGGGGACTTGCTGTAAAATTTGACTTTTCTCTGTGTTTGGAAATTTTCATAGCAAAATGGTGAGGGGAAAATCAAAGGGTTAAAAAAAAAAAAAAGCTAATTTTGGAATTTCCGAGAGGTGTATTGATTGAAAGACCAGTAGATGTTGTAAGTCTCTTCACAGCCACCAGCCCAACTGTTTTTAGACCTTTTGATTCTCATACCAGAAATGGCTGGCTTGGTGCTGGCCTGCTTCCACAGGCCACAGACCGCTGAGAATGGGGATTATAAAGGTCTCTCTCTCTCTTTTTTAAAGTTTATTTATTGGGGCGCCTGGGTGGCTCAGTCGGTTAAGCGTCCGACTTCGGCTCAGGTCATGATCTCACGGCTCGTGAGTATGAGCCCCGCGTCCAGCTCTGTGCTGACAGCTCAGAGCCTGGAGCCTGCTTCAGATTCTGTGTTTCCATCTCTCTCTGTTCCTCCCCTGCTTGTGTTCTGTCTCTCTCTCTCTCTCAAAAATAAGGTTTTTTTTAAGTTTATTTATTTTTGAGAGACAGAGGGAGTGTGCTCAGGTTAGGGAGGGGCAGAGAGGATCGCTGAGCTGAAATCAAGCCAGATGCTGAACTGACTGAGCCTCCCAGGCGCTCCTATAAAAGATCTCTTTTACTTAGGCTTTTAAAAAAATACTGTATTTATTTGAATTTCTTCTGTTGTTTTATTCTCTGCATGTTTGCTTGTATCCTGGTCACAATTTTGTTTTGAGGAATGTTCAGTTCTGGTCATTTCCAGATTCTTATAATTAAATAATTAAATCCTTGTGGGTTTAGGGTTTTAAAAAATGTGGCCCAAAAGTGTATTTTCTGATAAAGTTTTTCTTTTTCTTCTTTGTTTTTAAACAAGGGCTTAAAAAATGTCACTCTTTTATCTGTGGCAGAATTACTTTAACAGATGTCCAAGCCCCTGAGATATAAAGGAGGTTAATTATAATTAATTATTTTATAATTATGTTATGATTAATTAGAACAGCAAATTATGTAATTTGATTAAACTTTCTCTTTTTTTTAAATGTTTATTTTTGAGAGAGGCAGAGAGAGAGAGTGCATGAGAGCGTGAGCAGGAGAGGGTCAGAGAAAGAGGGAGACACAGAATCCGAAGACAGACTCCAGGCTCTGAGCTGTCAGCACGGAGCCTGACGTGCGGCTTGAACCCACGAACCGCGAGATCATGACCTGAGCTGAAGTTGTATGCTCAACTGACTGAGCCACCCCGGCGCCCCTAAAAATTTTTTTAGAATTTATTTTGAGGGAGCCTGAGCAGGGGAGGGGCAGAGAGAGAGGGAGAGAGAGAATCCTAAGCATGCTCTGCACCGTTAGCACAGAGCCCCATGTGGGGCTTGATCTTACGAACCGTGAGTTCACAACCTGAGCCAAAATCAAGAGTCAGACACTTAAGTGCCTGAGCCACCCAGGAGGCCCTCAAATCACTTTTTTTTTTTTTTAAATATTTTAATTTATTTTTGAGAGAGAGACAGTGTAAGTAGGGAAGGGGCATGGATAGAGGAGGACAGAGGATCTGAAATGGTCTCCATGCTGACAGCAGAGAGCCGGATGCGGGTCTCGAACTCAAGAACCATGAGATCATGACCTGAACTGAAACTAAGAGATGGACTCTCAACCCACTGAGCCACCCAGGCGCCCCTCAGATCACTGGGTTTTAACTTGAGGGAACCAAAAGTGTATGAGTTGCCTTATTCCTACCCCATTTCCAGTGAATCACCAAGTCCTATAAATCAGTAGATTTTACTTTTTCCCCGAGGGCTCTGTGCTACTACTGATCTTTCTGGAATGTTGCTCTCATTCCCGAATCACCTTAACACCAGGATTCCTAACCTTTTTTGTGCCGTGGACCCCTTTCACAGTCTCTTGAAGCTGTGAGTGCATTTATTTATTTTTTAATTTAAATTTATTTATTTAAAGAATTTCTGTTCCCAATGTGGCACTCGAACTCACAACCCTGAGATCAAGAGTCGCACGTTTCACCGACCGAGCCAATCAGGTGGCCCTATGAATGCTTTTCAGTGCGTGAAAGAAAATACGTGAGATTACAAAGGAAGTCACTAATTGGAAAATAATGAAAACGTAAAAAAGGCAAATTTCTGATTTTATAATACATGCTTCTTCTTGAATGTCTAGTTACTTCCAAAGCAGTGGCGAGCATAGGCACTGTGTTGTGATATCTGCAGGCAAGTGTAGGACAGTGTGACAGCTATCGGTGGTGTTTATTGGTCCACGTTACAGGTACTGCTGACACTACTTGTGTATTGTCTGCACGCATAATTTAGAAATAAACTAAACTTCAGGAGTTAGTGAAAATAAAGGCATAACTTTTTCCTCACCCAAGTTCACAGAACCCTTCAGTCTGTTAGCAGGCACCTCTGATTAAACATCGTCCGCAGTGGGGCACCTGGGGGGCTCAGTCGGTGAGCGGCTGACTCTTGGTTTCATGATCTCCTGGGTGTGGGTTCAAGTCCCCAGTCGGGCTCTGCGCTGACAGTGTGGTACCTGCCTGGGATTCTCTCTCTCCCTCTCACTCTGCCCTGTCCCCACTTGCTGTCTATGTCTGTCTCTCATAGTCAATAAGTAAACTTTAAAAAAAAATTCTCCTGCTTTAGTGATTCCTACTAATCCTTTAAATTTTACTCCCAGTGTTGATTCCTCAGGGAAGCCATTTCTGACCCCCAGGGTAGGTCAGATCTCCATTCACCCATTAAGGCGCCCTGTACTCCTCCCTCAGCGCACTTTCCATGGGTGGTGTGGCGGTGCATTTGTGCACCGGTTGACTGCCTCTCTTGCCCATAACACTTGAAGCTGGGATAGTACCTGTTAGTCACCATTTTATTACCGGCTCACAGTAGGTGCTCAATAAATACAAGTGGCGTAAATAAACTTTGAGAGGGGCCCTTGGATGGCTCAGTCGGTTAAGCGTCTAACTTCGGCCCAGGTCACGATCCTTCGCTTTGTGGGCTCAAGCCCTGAGTCAGGCTCTGTGCTGACAGCTGAGAGCCTAGAGTCTGCTTCAGATTCTGTGTCTTCCTCTCTCTCTGCCCCTCCCCTGCTTACACTCTCTCTGTCTCCCAAAAATAAATAAATATTAAAAAAAAAAACCTTGAGAAAGCTATCAAAGTAATTTGTTACTTTAGTAGGAGGAAAAGAGCTTGGTACGTTCGAGGTACTAAATGAGGGCTAGTCCCAATAACCTCTGTCTTAGTGTGGGCTGTGCGCTGCTATGACAGTCCCATAACCTGGGTGGCTTATAAACAGTAGGAACTTATTTCTCAAGTTCTGGGGACTAGAAGTCCAAGCTCAGGTTGTCAGGACGGTCAGCTTCTGGTGAGGGCCTTTTTCTGGGTTCCGGACGGCCGCTGTCTCATTGTATCCGCAGGTGGCAGGGCGGAGACAGGAAGTAAGCTCTCCTGACTGTTAAAAGGGTACTGATCCCGTTCTAGAACGTTCCACCCTATGACCTCATCTAATCCTGATCACCCACAGAGGCCCGACCTCCTAATACCATCACATGGTGGAGGGGGTAAGAGTTTCAGCGTATGGATTTTGGGGAGGGAGCACACAAACATTCAGTCCCGAACGACCATTTTTAGAGACGCACAGTTATAAAATACATGGAGCTGCAGTGAGCACATAGAGGGAAGAGGCAGTCCCAGTAACTAAAGAGCACGGGGCTTAGGAACACATTAGACAAGGGAAACAAGTTCATGAGCAAAAAAGAGAAGGGTAATTGTTTTTTTAAATGTTTATTTTTGAGAGAGCATGAGTGGGGGAGAGAGGGAGACACAGAATCTGAAGCAGGCTCCAGGCTCTGAGCGGTCAGCACAGAGCCCGACGCGGGGCTCGAACTCACAAACTGTGAGGCTGGTCTGTGGCCAGCCTGAAGCCTAGTGTGTCTTTGTTAACTGGGTATTGTGGTGGGAAAGCCCAAGATTTTCTTAGTTGGTGATGTGTTATACTGAGAAATGACCTTCTGGTAGGCCTTCAAACAAGGCTTTAAAACGTGTGTGTATATGTTGTTATTTATCAGAACATCACAGGTAGACTCATGGTTGGTCTGCGTTGGTGGAATCATATAGATGAAGATGGAAAAAGCCATTGGGTGTTTGAGTCCAGGAAGGTAAACTGCCCTTTTTATTGTTCAGCGTGTCATTCAGTAAGTTACGTGTAGATTACATTTGAATATTGAAGGCCGAAGCATTCAGGATTAGAACTGCTACCCCGAATTACTCGGCGGATCAGCACTAAACCTGATGGCCTCCTGAAACTTAGCTGCATTTTTCTGTCCAGTTGAGACCGGAAGAAAGGCATGTACAGGAAAGAGGCCTGTGCTAAGCCGCCTATCTGGGGCTGCTGACAAAGGATCTCTGAGCCCCTCAGCTTTGAGTTGCCTTGCCTGGTACCTCCAGAGATTTCTTCTGTTCGCAGATAGCTGCTTCCCGTAGCTTGTTTTGTCCCTGCTCCCATGGTCTGCTCCCACACGTGCGCAGGAACAAGAAAAAGAAGGATTATAAGTGGATAGAAAATCTGAATCAGTCAGAGCAGTCTGTTCTTTAAGCCTCTGCCTTCAGGAGCCGGAGGGGATGCTGATCTGTGTGGGGTTAGACTGCTTATCTGTGGGGAAGGTTCAGGTTCCCATGGAAGTCAGCTGGGGAGGCAGAGGGCAGATTCTTGGAGATGCTACTGATTCCATTGTTTGTCTGATGCTCAGAAGGGCCTTGACAAGGTCTACTTCCAAGGAAGCAGTATTGTACTTAGTGAGCCCATGCTCCTTTATATCATAAAATCCACCACGGAAGCAAGCCACCACCTTTTAAACTTTCTGGGTATGGCTGAAACATTGTGGTCATTATCCAGAACCTCCTGATTCCATTTCTTTCTCTGGACCCTTAACCAGGATGACAATATCAAAACCCCTTGATTTCCTTGATCCTTCCCTCATAAGGTGTGATTCAAAACTGCCTTATGAATAAACAGTGGAGGTGCTGTGAGAATTGAAGAGAAGTCCATCTTGGGTCATGACACACTGTCCATTCTGCCCCAAAGGTACCAAATTCTTGAGTTAAAGCATATTTAAGCCAGTTCTTAAAATTAGATCGTGGTAGATCCACTTAACTATCCTTTGGGGTGAGGGGGTTCTAACTTGGGACTTGGGTCATGTGTGTTAGTTTGACTTTTAGGTTAAGGTGTTTTTCATGAAAAATGTCAAGCTTTTTACTGATGAATACCACTATATCGATCATTAAATTCATGTTCTTTTTTAGGCATCCGCTCAAGAGAGTAAAACTGTTTCTGAGGCCGAATCGAGAATCTTTTGGTTAGGACTCATTGCCTGTCCTGTGCTGTGGGTGATATTTGCTTTTAGCGCACTCTTCTCCTTCAGAGTGAAGTGGTTGGTGAGTACTGGCGTAGATGCACCGGGTGAATCATCAGGATGCCTGATGGACGGATAATCTCAATAAGCGGCCATCGGGGTTCACACTGGGGACCTCACTCTCTCAAACAGACAGCTTTATCCCACATTCCCCAAGTTCCGTGCCCCTGTTCTGCTATTCTCTAGGAACTGTACAGCAGAATCCTCCCAAAGATCCCGTTTCACCAGTTCCCCGAGTGCCTAGGACTTTGACTTAACCCACCCTGTACAGAGGTCATCATACAGTTATCACATTATCATCTTGTTGGCTGGGGATGTTCAATAAACTCCAAGCAAACAGGTGTAGTGTAGTTTGGAACTAACAGAGCGATCCTCTCTGAACATGCTGGTTGGTAACTTGTTCTGGTCGTCCACCGCTTATTCATGAATCTTCCCATAACATAAGACTTAAAACGAGAGTCGTCTGTGATCTTTCAGTCTCTGGTTCAGGACCTTGGAGAGGGCTTGTCTGGGAGGCTGTGGGCTGGACTTCGTGGGGCTCAGTCAGGCCATGGCTGGGGTGGCTGGAGGCCATGAAGTCCCGTGGCCCCTCCTTGTGGTCTCTTTGCAGGGCCAGTTCGGGCTCCCTCCAGGCATGGTGGCCTCGTGGCAGTGAGACTGCGTCCTGGGCGGGTCATAGCTGTCATGGAGAGCGTTTGGCGCAGAGGCTGAATCGCCGTCTCCATCTGTGTTGGTTTGCTGTGGGTGTCATGACAGAGAGGTGCATTGTGGGATACTTAAACAATGGAACTTTATTTCCTCACGGTTCTGGAGGCCGGAAGACCCAGACTGAGATGTAGGCAGGGTTGATTTCGTCGTCTTCCCGAGGCCTCTCTCCTTGGCTCATGGATGGCTATCTTTTCTTTGTTTCTTCCGCATAGTCTTTCCTCTGCACGTCTGTGTCCTAATCTCTTCTTTTTACAAGGACCCCAGTCATACGGAATGAGGGCCCCCTGGTAACTCCATTTTACCTTCATCAGCTCTTTAAAAACACTGTTTACTTTTTTAAAAAAAATTTTTTAATGTTTTATTTATTTCTAGGAGAGAGAGAGAGACAGCATGAGCAGGGGAGGGTCAGAGAGAGAGGGAGTCACAGACTGAAACAGGCTCCAGGCTCTGAGCTGGCAGTCAGCACAGAGCCCGACGCGGGGCCCGAACCCACGAACCACAAGATCATGACCTAAGCGAAAGTCGGACGCTTAACCGACTAAGCCACCCAGGCGCCCCTAAAAACCCTGTTTCCAAATGCAGTGACATTCCAGGGTTCTGGGTTAGGACTTAGAATTTGTGGGAGACACAGCTAGGGCCGTGGCAGCAATCTGGGGTCAGAAGTCATCACTTTGGCCACCTCTCCTCATTCAGAGGAATGGGAATTAAGCTCCATAGCTTGATGAGGGGCATCAGAAGGTTCTAGACAAGCATGTGGGACAGATACGGTTGCTACTATCTTTGGAAAATATCATTACTTGATCTAAATTGTGAGTCTTGTTGTTTTCATAGTTGAGTTTATCTCATTCAATATTTTTAATGACTTTTTAAAGTTTATTTATTTATTTTGAGAGAGAGAGAGAAAGAGAGAATCCCAAGCAAGCTCTGCGCTGTCAGCACAGGGCCTGACGTGGGGCTCGATCCACAAACCATGAGATCATGACCTGAGCTGAAATCAAGAGTCGGATGCTTAACTGACTGAGCCTCCCAGGCACCCCTCACTTAACACTTATTGATACCAGCTATATTCTGGCTTTAATTATGTTTTTTCCTCACATTTTTAATATTTTGTCTCTGTTTTTGCTATATAGGCTCTTTTTCCTGTGTGTGCACATACGAACTTTCCTTTTTGGGATTTGGAAGGTTTATATTGTGTTTTTAGTGTTTCTAGTAAGCTCCCTCCCTCCCTCCCTCTAGTAGCTCCCCGATACTTTGTACCTTTGTATCACTCGCTCTTTCATGTACGGGTTCCCTGCTGTGAAGGATGGGGGCTGTTAACGCCCCTGCTCCTCCCCCTCCTCCTCCCTGCTTCTGCCTTTGGATTTCTGTGGGTTACAGACTTACTTGAGTTTTAAGCATCGTACTTAAACCTGTTTTTTGGCCTCTAGAGTCTGTTGGAAAGGAAATGAGATAAAGCCTGTGCCTTCTGGTGTTTCTTCCCTTCCTGTATTTCCCCGAGTTTTGTTTGCTCCGGTATTCATTTTGTTGCCAAGGTTCCTAACAATTACCTTTGGAAACTGTTCCTACTGGTTGCTAAGTCTTTGATGTTTTTAAATACATTGATTCAGTCCTTTTAACTGCAGCTTTTCCTTTTACCTCTTCATTGGCTGAGTTTCATCATTGGGTGATTTTTTTTTTCAAAAAAACTTGTAGGTGTTACTTTCCTTTGTCCCTGTCATGTTTAAGAATATGAGCCCGTTGACCTCATTCTTGATCAATGACTTGGCTGGGTTAATATTCTTGGCTCCCAGGTTCTATCTCTTAGCCTTTAGAAGACATTACATTATCATTTTCTTCCCTTCCCTTCCCTTCCCCCTTCCTTTTCTCTTCCCCTTCCCCTCCCTCCCTCCTCCCTCCCTTTCTCCCTTTCTTTCTTTCTTTCTTTCTTTCTTTCTTTCTTTCTTTCTTTCTTTCTTTCT